TTCTTTTCTTTTCATGCATGCACACAAATTATCATCTTAGGAAGACCTTGATAGATGGACTTTCGCAAATCCAAGTGATTTATCTATTGTATGAATGTACATGAAGCAAGGCAAAAAATTTCCATTGTGACCCATGATGGTAGAAGTAATTTACTTATCTAAATTACTTGTGAATATTCTTATGAGGATTCAACTCTTGATTAGTCACGATTCACTTAGAAGTGCTTATAAATCATTTTTGGGATCTTTTATCTCATTTGGTAATTTTCTCTTTGTATATATTTAATTTATCACATCCATATACAAATCTTTTAATTCTACTTGTAAAAAAAATTATAAAATTAGACACTAGGACCTTATGTAAAATCCCGCCCATTGCTGTGCTTAATTAATTTGAAAAACCTAATTTATTTGGGTTTTTAGGTCACATTGAACTCATTTAATTTACTCCGTAAATTATTATCGTAATTTGTGAATTTTGTCTATTTTTAATTATTTTAATTTTAATTAGTTCTATTTAATTTTAATTTAATAGCATTTATTTTCCTTTATCTTATTTCAGTACAAAAGAAAACATGAAATTTCGTAAAAATGGCAAAGCAGGGAAGGGGAGTTACAAGCGTGGGCACCTGCGCACTGTGGAGCACATGTGTGCATAGCAGGCACGAGACGTGCGCATAACGCGCAAGTCCAATCTGTGCGCAGGGCGTGGGATCAGACCTTGCGTGCGTCTTGTCATGCGCAGGCGAGCGTTTGCCCGTCACCTCGCACGCAGATAGACCCCTATGCGCTGGGGCTTGCGCATAATAGGCCTGTGTGCATGGTACCCAGCACGAGCACAGGCTAACTCATGCGTGCGTGGCAAGGTCGGCTGTGCGCCTACAGGTTAGCCTGCAGTGCACCGAGCAGGCCATTATTGCCTCAGGCAGTGCACTGCTATCACCTTAGGCGGCGCACCGCAGCCGCCAGTGGATGAGACTTTCCTCCCTTGTTTTTTGTGCCAAGCATTTTTTCCCTCTTCACTGGATTTTGCCACTTGGCGTGAATCCGACGGTTCTTAATTTCTATAAATAAGGTCTTCCATTCCCATTCTTCTCTACACCTCCATTCTTCGATTTTCAAAAATTAGAGAGAGAGAGAGAAAGAGAAAGAGTGATATAGAGAGAGAATGAGAGAAAGCAAAGAAGAACGGTGTAGAAGAAATTATCAAGGTTTCGGTAAAGAATTTATTATTTCTTTAAGCGTCTTAAGGGGTATTTTTAGATAAAAGAAAAATTATTCAATACGATAATTGTGATTTTGCACGTTTTGCACGCCTTTGTGATTGTAAGTCTAATAAGCTGAATTGTTTTTTATTTCAAGTATTATATGTGATTTACAAACACTTGATAATTTGTATGTAATAAAAATAATATGAATTCAATATTGTTACCTGGAAAATAAAAGAAACACAAAAAAAGAAAGAGAAAGAGAAATGTGGAATGAAGCATGAATGATCCAAAGTGTGTATTTGTATTAATAAGCATAAATACTTCAAGTGTCTCATTAGACTTTTTATCTCTGAGAGCTAACTGTTCTCCTAACCCCATATGGAGTATCTGTTTCTCTCTTCCCCATCTGGTTTGGAAAGACGGAAGAAGACTGCTCCTTGTGGATGACGGCGTACCATTTGACGAGAGTGATGATGCAAATATCTATTAGGGATCACCTTTGGCTAAGTACTGTTATGACTATAGAGTATATAATAGGACCACTACGGTTGGTACGATCGTGGTCATAGATTGTACCATAGTTTGACATGCCAGAAATGTGCATGAGCAAATTATTGTTATATATATTTGATATAGTCATTTCACATAGGTAGTTAGAAATCCGTATCTGTCTTCAGAAATAGAAGTTGTAACGATTTCGTAAAGTATGACATGAAAATTTGAGCATTTCATGATTTATTTGATTTTCTTTATTATTTGATATGATATATGTTTGTTTTACTTCTATTAACGTACTGTTTTCATAATGTAAGATAAGTTTATGAAGTAACCAAATAGTAAATATTTATGTTAGAATAATTCATATTTAAAACCTTACGATGTTATTTAAATACTATTTTCCTTACTGAGTATATGAAACTCACTTTTTCCCTGCCCTCCCAGATGATGAAGAAAATGAGAAACCACAAACTGACCTACTTATTAAAGTTTATGAGGATCCGTGAATCCACAAAACTTGAGTGCATGATCGTTCCTGCACTTTGATGAGTCCAATAGTATAGTGAAAGAAGTGGCTCTCTTTCGTTTTTTGAATTTTGTAGCCACTTCTGGCTTCAGTTATATGTATGTAATTGGAACTCATACATATTTGTCAATGATTTGTATTAATTTATTCTGCTGCATAAAATTTTATCATGCACTCGTAATTCTGTTTCTATATTTGACACTCATTTACCTTAATTAGCATTTGAGATGTCACACCTTGGCTAATACACAAATAAAATTGATGCAATCTAAATGTTAAATAGTCTATACTATAAAATAAGTATCTGACACGTTCATATCCTTAGTTATTTTGGACTCAAATATTTGAATATTGATTAATGTATATACTAGTGTCTAATTTTGTTTCCAATTGGACCAGCTAATACTTTATCTTAATTTTGTATGAATATTAATATTTTTGGATAGCCTTCTCGTGGTTTTGTTGCGACACCCATTATTAACCTTTTTCGTCCATGTATGAGATCTTTCATAAATGAATCTTTAAAATCAACTCCTCTATTTGATTTACTAAATAGAGAATAAGGAAGACAAAGGTTACATGTTTGATATTGAAAGTATTTTACCCATTTTAGGAAAGAGCTTGAACTAAATATAAGTTAAAATTGATTATTTTTACCTAATGAATAACTTTGAAAAG